ACTTAAGTGTACAGTCACAAAAATTGACTGCATGAAATAAATAACCTGCGCCAAGTCATGCGCATTTGAATTAGCATTCGACCTCGATAAATATCTACGCAGCAATACATCAACAGATAACACAAAAATACACTGAAAGGTTGTATACAGAACTCTTTAGTGTGCAATGTTTAGAGCATCCTTCCCTCTACCATTTAGTTTTCATTCAGTGAAACATATGGAGAAAACGAACAGTTTAAGATCCTCTCTCTCTTTCTCTCTCTTGCTCTTATCTGATTGTATACTAGTAGTTTGTTAACGCAAAAGCAGTTAAGATTATACCAAAAAAAATATGCGTTCTTGATCTCTGTTTCGTGTCTTTGACATTATCTTGTACATGTAAGATTCCTCTAGGTTCCTTGCCACACCAGAGAGCTATTCTGACCACGCCTCCAATTCGCCATTAAATCTTCGTCACTTCCGGGAGCGGGGATGGGCGCATGGGTGTTTGTTCCGAAGTTCACATCCTTGGTGTGTATGAAGGGCTTATTCACACTGTAGACAAGAAGGAGGATTTTTATTCCTGGCAGGTAAAATCATAAAGAGAATCAAAGAAAATGAAAACTTAATGAAGTTGCATGAAGCTGTCGGTGAAACAATGGATGTAAATGTTTCCACTGCAATCCCCTGCCTGTCATATATCATGTCTTGTCCTATCTTTCTATCTGTCCCACTTGGTTTTCTGTACATTTTTTCATGTAAAAATGGCATTTTGTCTGATTTTTTGTATGTAAGTGTATTTGATCAGAAAATTTTAATACGCTTCAATGCTCTTTCTTATTTGTTCTAAATCTTGCAAACATGAGCCTTTTTGATAAAAAGTAGAGTTATTTTATTTTTGATTTTTTTTATTTTTTAATATTTTTTTAAAAACCTGAATTTTCAAATCCACATGTTTAAACTGCACATTAAATCTGGAAAATATATTTCACAATTATTAAGATTTGTTTATTCCTAATTATTCCCAAAAACATTATATTCCTAAAATTGTTCCTGAAATTAATGTTCTTAACAAATTGAAATAAAGGTAGATAAACAGGGGACCAATGGTACTTACAACATAGATGTAGAAGATCCGGTCTATAGTAACTGGTTACACACTTCGTTAATTCTCCCGCCAAATATCAAGAGAAAATGTCATTCCTATCACGTGCGAGGGCATCATTATATGACGTCACGTGACGTAGAGCCGGATAAGAGCTTCTGGTCTGGTATGGGGATGGATATGGGAGGTTTTTAGGCGTAAACCGCATACATCCGGATACTTGAAGCAAATAACTGCATTATGGTTATTTGTTTCCATCGGGTAATGTAATCTTCTTATAACATTTGACTTTATGATATTAAAAAAAAAAACAATTTTTTTTTCTGCAGCAATCCTTTTCTTGTACTGAGTGTATAAATAGCAAGTTGATCTCTACGGTTCTCTCTTATTCTCAAGTTGATGTGTATCTCAATCGTTTAAGTCATCATTTCGTACGTTCAATGGTCGAAATGACTTGTCAGCATACAAGTTTTTGATAATTGACTGACGTTTTGCTTACTGATTGTTATTCCGTTATTTACACACTGAATTGAATCTTTTCTAACATGATAAAGAGACATGGCTGGTGTGACCAGCAGTTAACCCAATCTTTGGCACCTTTTGATCTCTGATGTTTCGACGGCAGTTTTACATTGCGCTGGGTGTTTTATGGACTTTGAGAATACTTTTCATTGTCTCTATATCCTTCCTGAGGCGTAAATATAATTCACATGAGTATATAATGAAAGAATTTATCCATAACATGCTTTCATTTTTATAAATACAATGGCAAATAATGATTCTTGTCAAATTTCTATTTACATATGATTAAAGTATATATTCTTTCAAAAGAAAAATATGTAATTCATTCAAAAACTTCTGATAAATATTGGGATTTTTTTTTTGCGATATAAATCTGATTTTTAACATTTAGAAAAAAAAAGTCATATTGGAATATGGAAATATATTTTCCCTAATAAATGTGTCAACGTTGGATTTCTATATTTCATTCAAAAACAATATTTTAAAATCGAACAGCACATAACCGTACTTTTTTTCCTTTGTTCTTCAAATTGAATTGTAGTTTTGCCTAGGTTTGATTATGCTCGTTAGAAAATTCCTATCCTTGCTACCACGAAAAGAGGATTTAACCTTAAATGTCAATTAAATTTGGATACAGCAGATCAAATTTTATCAAGTGTTTTAGAGATACAGGTTTATCCAAACCATCATGTTGTAGATAAAATATGAATAGCATGTACACAAAGAAGCAGACAAAAGTAGCATTATATTTTTTTCTTGTTATTTTTTGCCAAGGAAACTGTTCTTTGCATCTTCTCCCAATACAAACATTTTACACAAAGTGTTGTTTTTGATAATTTCTATGACGTAATCCAAAAAATAACGATGAGGCAGACAGCATATCTTTGGCCTCCTTTTGATTTATCATAACGACAGTAGGTGGCGCTGTCTGTTTGTTATACAGGAGAAGAAGGACTTTTTTTGTGATTTATCTGCATGCCGGTTTATTTGGAGCCCTGACTACAGCATTTAATTGATTTGATTTTCTTTTTTAATATTTCACAGATTTTTTTATATATATTTTGACGGTGTAAAAAGTTTAAATCATTTGGAATTTGAGCCTTGGTCATATGAAAGTATGGCTTTAATATTTCACTGGTGTATTCAACGTGTAAAATGTTCACTTGTGCATTATTTTTACTTTATGTTTGAAACTTCACTTTTAAAGACAATTTTCAAAATTTTATTTTTAGCCATAGCTACTACACAAAAATCAAGTGATATATATTCTCACGCTCCATATTTTGATAAGATTTTTTTTCTGATTTATCAAGTGTAATGACCCTGACTGCAGCCTTTAATTGGTTTGAGCTTATGGATTTGACCTACTTTTCAAAAACGTAAACTTTGGTCGTATTTACTGAATATTTTGTGCTAGGGATTAACTGTTTTACTGGTTCATTTCTTGTGGTAAGAGCCTCTCTTGAATACCTATATTTTCTTTTTATATGTTTATCCTTTTATTTGGACATCAGAGTTTGACCACCTTTTGAAAAAAACATTGGTGATAACTTTTGAATAGTTGATTTTGTGACTTTTATATTTCACCTTATGTATTCTTTTGAAATTTTTTTGGATATTAAATTGACTCCTTGACCTTGTCCAGTTTGACCTACTTTTGAAAATCTCTAACTTTGGTCATAATTACTGAACTGTTGCTGCTTTTATGGTTTTTATTTCTTGAAGGTAGACTCATTGTGAGGAACTTTTCTTCTGGTACCAAAATTAGTTTATATTGACCTTTGTGTTTGACCTACGAACGACAACATTAATCATAAGCCTCTTTGTTTCACAAACTTATCTTGAATTTTTATCATTAGCTCCTGAAACTTTTCCTATTGATTTAATAACAAATTTCAAGTTGTAGTCTATCAAATTTTTGGATATACTAGTATATAAATCATAGTTTACACATTGCACAATAGAGAATGACTTGTCACACATATTGAATCATTTTTTTTTAAAGATGTAGTCTCATAATTGCAAAAGTATTTGCAAACATATTGATTAATGTTAGCTTGCTAAGTTTTATTTGCAAAGGCAGTTGCAGATATAAGATAACATCTTTCAAAAAATAATAAATCAGTGCTCATTTTTTCTAACTCCTTGTCTTGTTTTGAAATTTGATTTCTTTTTTTAACTTACTTGAATTATCTCTAACCTAAATAACAATAAATTAAAATGATTTCAAATTTTGATTTTAACGTTTGTGACGTCCAAATAAAACGCATAATACACATGTAACCTTTTAATCCCTGATCTGTGTTCTGGTGTTTTGAAATAAAAAAAAAACACAATAAAAATTACAGTATCGAGATAAGTCTACTATAACGTATATCGTGCATTCAAGAGCAGAAAGATCTATTTCTTAATGATTATTTGTAGCAATAGAAGATATTGATCTTCAGAAAATGTGATTTTTTTTATTTTAATCTCATAATTAGGTATCATTGAGAATCTAGTATCTTTGCGTTTCTTGCCACAGCTAAAATTCAAGCTATCTAAATATATTTATGGTATAATTTGACTGGTGGAAAGAAATATTTAGTACGCCTCACTTCAACATTTTAGCTTATTTTCTCCATGATATTAAAAAAAAATAACAATAATTTCAATTTAAGCGGTTTTAAGTAGATTAATGGATAATAAATGCTCATACATTCAAAATACTGCATGCATGGAAAAAGATGAGGATATGTTTTTAGACAAGTATAATCTTAGGTGTATTTCCACAAAACATGACGATCAAATAAACCTATGATTAATAAAAAAACCTCCTTATTACAATGAAACTTGTCTTATCCGATATGCACGGGGAACAGCTGTGTTTGAATACACAAGGTGTAGTATTGCAGCATGTAAAGATCATTGAGATAAGTATAAATGACAATGGCTGAAATCACAGTAAAGAGTATTGCGTGTGTCGGATTAAACAGGTTCCACTGTAATAGGTTTAACAATCTTCATCCTAATTCTCCGTCCAGTTATCTCCATTTATCAGTGAACGAAATTTTTCTAATTTCAAATTTATTACAACACATATAAAGTACATCTTTTACTGAATACATTCCGTATAGCTTTACAGAGCAGTTCAACCCCCTTCTTTTACTGTTTATTACTTGATGTTAAATATAAAAAAAAATAACTCAGGGATAAAAATTAATTTTAATTATCTCTTGAGGTAGCATACTCCATGAATGATCACTCATCTGTTAAAAAATCAAATAAATACTTCACAGAAACATGTAAAATATAGCATATTTTTTTCTATTAAAAAACTTTTATAACTGAAATTTTCACAGTGATATGAAAAGAAAAAAAAAAAAACTTATTATTAATATTTAATGAGGTTTACCTAGTGAGGTTTTATCATCATGGTGGTCCCCTTCACTGACGGCCCACTCTCTACTGTGGGATACCAGGGACTTATCCAGTCTGCCGGGGGCCAGAGGCCGTTAAGGAAGGCCCAGTGGCAGTAGTTGAACCACCAGCCACCTCTAGTGTTACTGGAAGCAGCACAGTTACCACCCCTCCACAAGTCGTTATCTCTGTCTGGAGTGGAGAAGGACATCCCGGACAGATCACCATAAGAAGAACCAGTGTCTAACATACTGTCCCCTGTAATATTAAACAAAAGGAATCACAGAGACAATGGATTTATATATCTTCAATTGTTCATAATTGTTAAATTGTTAATAATCTTCTAAGATAGATAGCTTAAGGTGATGGAAAGAGAGATAATATTTATTTAGTTCAGTCCTAGAATCCCCACTGTGTATCATACTTGTACCTGCAGAATTACAGAAAATATATAGCACAGATAATAATTATGAATTTCTAATTTAAATCAGATAACAAAATACAATTCAATAAAACACTGCGAAATTCACACTGCATCCTTTCTAGTGTAACACAAAATCACAGGAGTGTTACACCTTTAAAGCTGGTATTTTTTTTTTTGTTTGTTTGTATGTTTAGAGGTCACTGGAAATATCAGAAAACATGAATTAATTATATATTCATACATGTCAGAGACCGTGCTTCTTAAAATGTATGAAATGCAATACGTATTACTCATTCATAATTAGAACGATATCAGATTTGATGTATCTGTAAATGTTTTCAAATATTAGGTTTTCATTCAATAAAGCATATGTACATGTAAATGTGAAACGCATTGAGGAGTTCTGATTGTAGATTATTAAAATCTTTTTTTTTCAAAAAATCTCCGATCATTTTTTGATCATTAGATTTTTGTAAACTTTTCGACATTTAAGATTATTAACGCTCTGTAAATTTCCTATTTCGTAGTATTTTAAATGTTATTTATTGAAGATCAGACAAGATTTTCATTAATAGAGAAAATATATAGTAAATGTGAAACACGTTGCGGTGTTGTTTTTTTTTTCTTAATTTGAATATGCTTCCGAACAAATAATTTTCTTTTAACAATAATTTTTTGTGAAAATGTTGACATGATAGATCATTTCAACTCTGTAAACTTGTTTCTCCGTAGTAGTTAAAATGTGAATTATTAAAAATTATCGGGAAACCCAAGCTGAATAACAATGGTTGAGCGAATGTAATAACTGGATTTGTTTGATGAATATAATTACATGATTTTCCTTGTACATAAAATAAATAATTTGAAATTCTAGCTTCTTGGAAAAATCCAATTCAATGTCTGCTGAATTCGTGAATTGTACCTGCAAATGATATTCTGAAATATTAAAATGTTTAATTAGTATGGAATCAAAAACGTATGCAGCATAAAAAAGGTATCTTTCTTTTTTTTCAACAACTTAATAATATTTCAATACAGATTAGTATTATAATGATAATATGCGTAATTTGGACCTAATTTTAGGAGCTTAACGTTGGTACACTTACCTAAAGTCCCCGTGGCAGGTCCTGCAAGAAAGAGTTGATATTTTCCAGCTTCGTCGGAGACGGAGAATCCGTCGTACATTTCATACAGCGTTGTACCATTCTGGAGAGTGATGGACACATACAGGGATGAGGTTTTTTCTTTTGTTAATTGATGGATTACGTCATTCCCTGTATTAAGATATATTTGAAATCATCTGAAAAGTTCATCGAATACAATTAATTCTTTTAAAGTCTATATGAATCTACCGTAATGAAAAATCAAATTATTTCCCATAGCTGTAGACAATAATTCTAAATTTGGTCTCTTAAGAATATGTCGCTAAATGATATTCTTCTTTTGTATATTTTAGATATCAATTAAACACGATGTCTGAATATCGTAGAACACACATTACCTAGTCTTAAATTTAGATCTTTATTATGCTTTAATTTTTTTTTTACCTGCAATAAGAATATTTTTATCTTCAAACTTTGAAGGAATGAAAAGCTTATTTGAAAGCAATTTACACTTACCAATCCAGACATTCTGTTCTGGTGAACCAAACCCATTTTTATAATCCGCCCAGAACCTGTCAAAGATCACGGATCCGTCTACGCGTTTCTGAATGGCCTTTGAAAATTAAAATTCATTATAATTCAATTTATTGCTTCAAACATTAATAGGATCCATATCTTATGATATAAACTACACGGATCCGTCTACGCGTTTCTGAATGGCCTTTGAAAATTAAAATTCATTACAATTCAATTTATTGCTTCAAACATTAATAGGATCCATATGTTAAGATATAAACTACAATACAATCCTACAATCCTTAAAACCACCAAACAATGTGTATTATATTAAGTACTTTTAATTCTAATTTAAACAACCTACCGTCCACCCCCCGCCCATTGTGGTCATATCGCAGAAAACACGGACAGGTACTGTTAGTGTACGGTAGGGGTATATATCATACACCCCTGTGATGGTATGTCCTTTTTCTCGAAGATCCTTGCAATCTTTGGGCGTGCTAGAAAAAACTTAAAACAAAAATACCAGAATCATACAATGTATATGTACAAAAAGTAAAAGGATGTATAATGCCTGCATGGTATATATATGTATATATGTTAATTGTTGATGCTAAAATGTTAATTACATGTATAATGCGTATTATGTTAAACTGTTTTTTGTTATCTAAAATCATTCTTGTTTTTTTAATAAATAAAGATCTTCGATTTATGACATGACTAAAAGTATTTCAAATTAAACACAATCATTTTCAATACTCTGTTGACTGAAAGAAATATGGAAGAGAAATCGATTGTAAATAAGATGACAAACAATTTTGACACAGAAATAGATGTTGAAAAATGAAGTAAATTCATGATATCGTTTTGTTGTATGGTAAAATGTCTGATCGATCGACAGGGAATGTTTAATTCTCCATGGCACAGGCCAACTGTTTTCAGGATTCACATCTTAGCTTTCAGAACAGCTGTTTTTAACATAGAAATCTTGAGATACTAGCTAAAATGAGTTTTTTTTTCGTTTATTTAGTTATAAAAAGCCAAACTTTTCCAATGGTTTGGACTGATCATTGTTACAAAGCTTAAATGAATATTACTAAATGCTCACGGTGTAGAAATTTTATCTTATGTTTTCCATTACATGCTAAGGAATTTAAAAAAAATAGAAAATTGAAAATAGAGAAAATCACTATGTATAATTCAATCAATCTCAAATTAAAAAATAATTCCAAATAAAAAAAAAAGATATATAAAGAAAAAAAATCAGGAAAGAGATGAGAATGTCACTAGAATAAATTATTTTGAAAATACAATTGTTTATACTAGATAAAAAGAAGTGTCAAAGAAAAAAAACCGTGTCTCTTCGAGAGGGATCTAAAAAAAACAAAGAAGTAAACAGAAAGATTTAAAGATTACAAATATACCTACCGTCATCCGAGTAGTATCTCCAACCGGCCTCATCAGACAGCTCAGACGTAAGACTTTTCTTATGCGTACGACATTTTTTCATTTGATGCCTGAAACCAAAGAAGCCGCACTTACTTTGACACAACGCAGCGCACTCGGTCAACGAATGAACATTGTATTCCCCTAAAAGTTCATAATTTGATTTCTTATCATTAAATTCCATTTTCGCGGTATATTTCTGAGAAAAAATTGTAGCTTTAGATAAAGCTAAGAAGCCTACAATTAAAGTGATAACCGCCTGACTGCCCATTTTTTTTCTTTCTTAAGAGAAAAGACTGCTGTGTTCTTGTGAATCTGTGATATTCTGCCGAATGGTCCTTCTACAGCCAAATATATATGTCGTACCTTAATCAATGCCTGAAAAGCGATTGGCTAACTGTTACGTACTCTATATTTTACAGTTGTTTATGTATCGATTTTATTGAATTTAATATGAATTTTCATAAGTGTATATTTTGAAATTGCATTTTAACGAGGCCGAGTCTAATTATTTCCGCCCTAGGGATTTTGATAATTTTTTGATAATTAATTTTTACTGTTATATTTATTGTTTTAGGATTAAAATATCAAATGTTTACCACCCCGTTTTCTTAGTGGGCCATCTTAAATGTTGTCAAACTTTACTATTGGACACTATGGGAATTTGTTGGAAAATAATTTTTTTCAATATTTTTGTACTTCTGCCTAGGGATTTCTTTTTCATTCAAGTAAATGAAAGTAAATGTAAAAAGTCACCAAATTGTGAAATTTCAAAAAAGTTTTCGATGGTTCTAGGTCGAAGAAAAATACCTCTAAAATTGCCATATTACGGTAAAAATACATATCTATGGTGACGTTGTTAGAGCCATTTCAACGTTCTTTTTCCAATAATTGTCGTAAAGATCACATTTTCATATCAGTAGGAGTTACAAATAATGTTAATTCTGTATTAAAATTAAAATAATTAATGACTGCTTGAAATTAAAAAGCTGATGTGCACTCGCAAAGTGATTAATTAAAAAATATACAATAAACGTGTGCTGTATATTTTACTAAGCTAATGCCTCTTATGTTGTGATTTTTTTTTTTCATTCGTTATCTTTGAAATAAGGATTTATAATACTGGCATATATTTCCTTGAATGAAATTGAAAAAAAAATCAGCTCTTTCGAAAGAAAATCTCAAAGAAATAATTATATGATGACATTATTATGATTCTCAGAAATTATAAAAAAAAAATACTGATTAATTCAAACTTTTATACATTAACCTCCAAATGTTCATATAACACAATGCATCATCATTGCTTTATTAACTTTTTAATCAGTTTCAAAGGACCACAATGAAAAGATATAAGAGGAACTTTGACAGCACCGAGCACATCTATAAACTGAAACTGAATCTGTTTTTTTAATCAAACGCCTATTTTACATCAACATATTCAATGGCGTTCTAGAAAATCTGTATAAAAATATATTAACATATAATATATATAAATATACATGGATACATGGAACGTAATGTAATTAAAATAAAGCATAAAGTCCCTAAAGTTGTAGCTTTTTAAATGTTTTTTTTTTAAATTCATGAATTGATTTTGATTTTTTATGTACAAAAGCAGTAAAATGCAGAACTTAGGACGTATACAGGACCTAGCACATCTCGGAAGAATGTAGACAAAACCGAGCACATCATAGAAGCTCGTAGACAGCACCGAGCACATCTTGGAAGAATGTAGACAGAATCGAGCACGTCATAGAAGCTCGTAGACAGCACAGAACACATTTTGGAAGAATGTAGACAGCACCGAGCACATCTTGGAAGAATGTAGAGCACATCATAGAAGCTCGTAGACAGCACCAAGCACATCTTGGAAGAATGTAGACAGAACCGAGCACATTATAGAAGCTCGTAGAAAGCACCGAGCACATCTTGAATCTTATCTTAACATTTCGACTTTAGGGACAGATGACACGAAAAAACTTTTGTCAAAAACTACTAAAATAACAACTAGAGTCTTCTTTAAATGAATACAATATGTAGTGTTTACATTTCTATTCAAAGTTGCACAAAAAATGGTATTTGAATTGAAAAATATTAGTATAGAATAATAAGGATGGTTTCAGAAGGGTAGAATTTGTACGTCACAGGTTAACATTTTCTTTATATTCTAGAAATTTATTATTATTGAGTTTCTGATTGACAATATCTATGTGGTTTTTGGAGACCAGGTATTCCAACAATCTATTGGAATTCCCATGGGTACAAATTGCGCCCCGTTATTAGCAGACTTATTTTTATATTCATATGAAGCAGAATTTATGCAAAATCTTTTGCGTGAAAAGAAGAAAACACTTGCTGTGGCCTTCAACTCGACATTTAGATATATCGACGACGTATTGTCAATTAATAATGATAATTTCCATTCCTACGTCGACACGATTTATCCTGGTGAGCTTGAGATAAAAGATACCACAGAGTCCGACACTTCTGCTTCATACTTGGATATTTTACTTGAAAAAGACACTAATGGTAATCTAACAACCAAGCTATATGATAAACGTGATGACTTTAACTTTTCTATCGTCAACTTCCCTTACTTATGCAGCAATATACCTTCATCACCTGCATACTGAGTATTTATATCTCAGTTGATTCGATACGCAAGAGCATGCTCTACGTATGAATGACAACACATTACTTATTTAGTTTTTTGTTTCTTGTAAACTTCAGCAATGTTTCGATAAGACTCTTTTTTTCTAACAATTTCCTGATTCTTTCTTTAATAATTCCTGTTTTCTTTTGTCCACCCCTCAGTTAGAAAATTAACCTTTCTTTGTAATGTTTCTTTGTTTTTCTATGCTAAGATAATCTACAGCCTTAAAGAACTAACTTCACTTTTGGATAATTCTAACGTCTGCCGTTGAGAGGAGATACTGTAAACCAAGTATTAAACGCGTGCGATAAATATCCGCGAGTTCCGCGAGTAACCTCTGCTCGCGGATATTTATCGTCGCGAACCAGTTGTTCATTTTCCCATGTTATGATTAGAGTTATTTGCCCTTATTTGTGTACCGATCCCGACGGTTCAATAAGTAATCACGGAAGAATTTTCGTGTTCTAGAAAGAGTTGAAGTTTTATTACAAACATTCAGAAAAATTATATAAACGAATGGAAAATCTAAATATATTTGTCTAAAAGGATTAAAATGTCAATAAATATTTCAGCTTGTGTTATCATTGTTCATTTATTGTCACAGACGAGTTAGAGATAGCCTGGTTAATTACGACTAATTATGGCCCAGTCCTGCTCCGTCCCAACCATTTATAATAATTGCCCTTTGGCTATGTAGATCTTGTAAAGCATCAATTACCCAATAAACACGAGGTACTTTTACACTTGAGAGTTTTAAACCAACTTAAATCTTTATTATTTGTTTACCGATTTTCATTCGAGCGTCGTGAATAATGCGTAAGAAGTATACTCATGGTAACATTTTACCTACTTTGGTTGCGGATATAAGATTTTTTAAAATAGACGCAATCCACAGAATGTCTTAAATAATACATAAGCAGTACTCACGGTAGCATTTTACCTAGTTTATGAGCGGATATGAAATTTTGATGCAAAAAATAAAATACTTGTGGAAATTAAAAAAAAAATATGACCACTTGTTCGCGGAAATAAATCGTCGCAGATTAGTTCTCCAGCGGTCAGTCATGAATAAAAAATGACGCGTATAATAATTGGTTTACAGTAATCGTTTCTGTAAATGCCATGTTTCAACTCTCTTCGCAGAACTAACACAGTCCACAGCTACCTAGACATCCTTGACGAAGGCTAAACGGAGGAAGGTCTTTTGGTTCATAATTTGTCGGAAAACATATATGCCAGGCTTCTCGTTCATCAAAGTCACAGAGTTTTACTACAGGTTAGCAGAGAACCCATCCTGACCTGTAATACTGACATAAAAAAAACAATAACAGAATGGAAAACATTATTCTTAAAAATCAGATGGAAAAATAACCAAAAAAGAGAGAACTGCAGCTTCTCAATCAGAGATTTTACACGGTATATATAGAAATGATTGAGGAATTCTTCCTATCCAATGATGTCATATGTGTACGAGGGTTGTCCGTAAAGTTCGTAGACAAGCTAAAAATTTAATAAAAGTTGTGTCATTGATATTTATTATTGGCATATTTTTAATCCTTTACTAAATATTAATTGAAAAATGAAAATTTTTATTCAATTATTTAATTGCAATTATGGCTACATAATTAGACTTGGAATGGAGACCCGGAGCACCACAAAATTTTCATTAAGAAATTATCTATCACTTTATAAATTTCATTTGTATTTTATAAAATTCTGCGGAAATCTTGAAGAATTTTACATTATGAGGTTGACAGAAGTTATCACGTCAAACCTGCAAAATTTGAACGTTCAAAGTTTCAAAATGGCTGAGCAATCAAAGTTAGAACATATTAAGACAGAGTTGGAATTGTTCATAAAAGGGACGTTTTCGGAATAGGTGGAGCAGTAAGCAGTAATAAAATTCTGCGTAGACATCGAAAAAACACCTAAAGAGACAAACGCGTTCTGTTAACAGTCGGGAAAACATAGAAAAAGAAGCCGTTTATTAGTATTAAAGTGGCATATAATATTTTCGGACGGAATGAACAGTTTACAGGATGACATGCTTGAAGGAAAACCATCATTCCGAAATTGAAGTGCTGTAAAAAATGAATTCGTAACGTAATCATGCCGTATTTTCTGTAAATAAATCGTCTTTACACGGAAAGAGGTTGGATGATTTCAGGATATAAGACAGGCATTGTTAAATAATATTTTACGTATGAAACCTGAACATTATGTGCAAATTTTTATTACTGGTTAAAACGATATAAGAAATGTATTGAGTATTAAATTTAAAAAAGTTACACGTGCTCGTATTTAGCTTTTGACGTCGGGTAACGTCAAAAATTTTCGTTTTAGTGCTCCGGGTATGAGTGTGTGTCTTTTCTGTATCTTATAAAAATATAACTATTTGTGCTTTGATTTTGTTGAAAACTTGCATATTTATAAAATGAAACATGAATTTAATGAAAATAATAGTTTCATACATTTTGTCAATGTTTATCAGTATTTATCAATGTTGTCCATGAACTTTACGGACAACC